ACAGCCCTCATATGCTGCAGTAGGAGCTACACAGGATGGCTCTGGAAGACAGCTTGGCAATTTCTTATGAAGTTAAATATATACTTACCACATAGCCCCCCACAATTCCACTAACTTCCCAAATACTCAAGAGAAACACATTATATTCCTAAAAAAGATCTACTTGTATTTACAGAAGCTTTATTTATAATGGCCCACAACTGGAAACAATCTGTCCATCACCATATCCAAATGAAGCACTGCCCAGCAATAAAAAGGTACCCACCAAGGTAATACGGCTAAAATCAAAAGCATGTAACTATGAAACGAAAATAAAAGGCAACACATAGAATTCCCTTTGTATGGCATCCTGGCAAAGGTTAAAAGGAAAAAAAAAAGCGAAAAAACAAATCACACAGTGGATGCTGGGCTTGGGGAGGGAGGGATGTCCTGCAAAAAGGCATGAGAGGGCCTGTAATGAGCCAAGCAGCCCACAGAGCTCGCATACCTCAACTTTCTCAGCTTCTAGCAGACTTGTTAAATTTTGTGGCCTCCCCACCAAAACTGCTGAGACAGGCCTGGGTTTAAATTTCAGCTTCCAAATTTTCTAGCTAAAGTAACTTTAAGCAAGTTGCTTAATCTTGTGTATTGGAAAAACAGACCACAAAGTTTCTCCTGTGATAGATGAGTGGGTTTTTTCCCCACCACGAAGCAAGCGATTAAGTCTGCTGCAGTGGAAAGCATCTGGGTGTCTTGTAATTTGATTCAGTCCTGACTACCTGGAGAAAGCATCTTCCACAGGTTAGGGATTCAGTCCCCAAGACTGCCTTGGCTTAAATGTCTCACAAGAACACACACACCCACACACACACACACCCATATATAAAACCACGCTGTTTAAACATCATATGCTCCATACACCTCACCTAAGTGGTGAAGAATGTTCAGCGACTGACATCAGTAGAAAGCCTATTGCCTGGTTGACCAACCTCTCTCCTAAAAGGAGCTAAATGATGTTCATAAGCCACCAACTGGCCTTCAACTAAATCCCTAAACTCATTACAGCTTGCTGACATCCAGGCTCTGTAGCACAACTCTAAAAAGCAAGATGCATCAGTGCGCAAAGGACCTCTACAGAGAGCTCTACACTCCCCCACACCCCAGAAGAACTCTCAGCTCCAATTGCGCCAGTGTCTTTCTAATTTATCATTTGTAAATGGCTGATGCAAATGGACCTGAGACTTCCCTTCACAGGTTCCTCTTAATGCTTCCATTTTCTCTTTTCCCAGCCTGTTTACTGTGTGTGTGTACCAGGGATTGAACTTAGGACCTTGTGCTTGCAAGGCACACAGTGGAACCACTGAGCTAAATCCCTGGCCCCCTCCGTATACTTTTCTTAACTTACCAACTTGATATGATTATACTGAGAATCTGAAAAGCTCGATGTAGAGGAGTGACTTATAAAAAGACTTATGAGCACTTTGAAACAAACAGATTTCCAACACACATTATTTTATCCAATGATTTTGGAACTGTCATAGAAACATACCCCACCCAACCCCCAACCTCAAGATGGAATACAAAGGAGCCACCCCAGGTAATGGAGCAAAAATGAATGACCAAGGAGACAAGGAAAACATGGAGGTAATTCATGTACACTACCAAAAGTTGGCTCCAAGCCTTTTAGTGACTTAGTCCACTGCTAAGTACAGCTGCAGTTCTCTTTATCCTCACACTTTTATCCAAAGACTTCCAGAGAACACTAGTTTGTACTTTTAGATATTTAAATTAAGGCAATTCTGCGATCTCACTCCTAGAAAATGTCAAAGGAAAAAAAAAATCGCAAGCCTCTTTTAAGTTTACTTTCTCACAGCCAGGGTGCTTCAGTCCATTTTCTTCAGTGATTGCAAAGGAATTTCTTTCAAAGTGCTGAACACAGTTCTTCAGAAGAGTTGCATTTTAAATGGTTTTCAGAAATTTCATTTAATTGCTCTTGTCAACTTGTTTCAGTTTCCAACTCTTGGTATAGGGTGCTTACTATCATTTCTAAGCAAATCCTTCTATATGTGAAGTAATCTTATTTTTTAGTAAGGCAATGAAGATAAATGTTAAGAACAACTTCAGGCAAGGGAAAAGGCAAACATTTTTCTGAATTATGTCAAAGGTAGTATACGTGTTCTATGCAGGATTAGCTTCTACTTTACAAGCTTTGATAAGTGAACAAGGCCAGAGAGCTTGATCTGTTATTTCTACATATGGTAGTTCTTTTTCTTCTGGCTATAAAACAAAATTCCAATAATTTTTTTTTAATCATAAAAGATTTCTCTAACTTTGTGCATAAGTCACTCTTCACACATGGATTTGAAGGCACCACTCCAAGTGAGTCTGATGTGACCAAACGCAAGTCACAGCAATCACAGTTATGTCCTGCTTGATGTAGGTGCATCAAGAAAGCCCAGTTTTCTTACTTCTGAAGCCCTGGAGCTGACTCAATGGTCTTAGATTTTCTTTTCTATGTATGTTTTCACTTTCCTCTCCATCCTGTTAAGTGAAAGAACCTAAAAAGGTACTTTGTTTACAGAATCTTCCTGTACCGTTTTTCTTGCATGGTGTGTCTGCAACGTGCCTCAGCTGAAGTTGCCTCAAGCAGATATTCGTGATTTGTCCCCAACCCCATTCCACCCTACCCGGCCTGTCTTTTTCTAATTACATTCTTGGAAAACTTTGAGCTTCCTCTTCATTTCCATGTAGACTACTAATAATGACCAGCATAGTACATTACTGGCTCCTGTTTTTCACTCGATAAGAAAACTCAAGCTTTTTGACTGTTGGCCATGCTCCAGGATAAAAAAGCTCTATCCCAAAGCTGGGCTCCTCTCATTCCTTTCGATCTATTTGGGATTAACTCTTTCCATTATTTTCACTTAGTCTTCCCTTCCCTTTTGGATGTCTATAAAAATTTTGGTTTGATTCTCAGTTTGGGCCAAAATTTCAGTTGAAAGAACCATTTAGCTGGGCGTGGTGGCACAACACCTGTAATCCCAGCACTCGGGAGGCTGAGGCAGGAGGATCGCTGTGAGTTCGAGACCAGCCTAGGCTACATAGGGAGTTCCAGGTCAGACTCAACTACACAGTGAGACCCTATCTCAAAAAAAAGGAAAAAGAACCGTTTACATCACCAATTTAAACAATACTCAGCCTATATATAGATTCTTTTTGTTTTGTTTTCTAACTCCTAGCTTATATTCAAGCAATTAACAATCCTGAAGTTCCTGTTGGTTTTTTACTGAATTTTTTTTTTACCTTTATACCCAGCTCTTCCTGGATTCTCTTAGATACTGAAAATTCTTTGTCCAGACTGAGAATTCTGTTACTTGCTTCCCTGCACAGATGTTTTCTGCTCATCCACTGTGTGCCAGAGGCCCTGCCCTTGGGAAGCTTAACTTCTAGTGTAAGATACTAACTAGGCTGATACACATGAAGTGGCTGGTAGTGTGGGGGTAGTAAAAATAGTCACTTCTGCTTGGCTGCTAGCCCACAGCCCTCAGTTATTAGCTCAACTGTTACAAATAAGTAACACGGCATTATATATTTTTTTAAATTACTGTCTGAATATTTATACTATCTTTAATGAAAACATGTAAAACTCTGTATTTGGAAATTACCTGAATTACAGATTATATAAGCCTGACAAACACAATGCTTGTTCCTAGATATAAGAGTAATTAAGACCATTATTGCTATAAATGCAGAGATTTAAAATCTAGACTGTATATTACATATAATTATAACAAAGTAACATTTCTTGAGTATGATCACTGCTTCACGGCTACAGAAAAATGTCAGATATGATGTGTAATGATATAATTTACAGGTAATAATTAAGAAAAAAATGTTTATTTACACAGAATTTCTTTCTCTTTCTTCTCTCACCATGGGTCAGGAAATGTGGCAAAACATTAAAATATAAGTGACAGGCATGCAGATATTCACTATATTATTCTTGCTTTCTTCCCCCCCGTAGACATTTTCAGTAGAAGCTGCAAAAAATAGAAAAGGACTGAAAACCAGAAACTTTAAAACTACTTAAATGGTTTTTGAAGAAAAAGAAAAGAGAAACCAGTTCTGCAATCAAACACAAATACTTTTTTATTTATGGGATATTGTTTTACACCAATTCCATTAAAAACTAAAACCAGTATGCTGTACTCAAGTTAGATGGCATAACGGTATTTCAGTTAAGCTGGGAGTCACAGGACTTGCACACTTTTATGAATGTAATGCAAATACTGACGACACGAAGCATTCACAGTTATAGGTTAGCTGCTGTTCAATTAACAGTAACCTCCAATAAAAATTATTTTATGAAAAAAAAAGCAACCCACATTTTGGTCTCATTTACAGATACCCAACATTTTAGTTGGTCAATGAATTCTATACATTTATTGTACAACTTATGAAAGAATAAAGGATAAGGCTTACAGAGGTATCTTAGCAGTTGTAAGAATAAAAACTGAGGGCACAAACTAACTTTTAAAGCCTTCTGTATAAATTTCAAAAGCACTGTCAGAACGGGGACCAGGAGGCAACAGAAATCTGTTGTTAAACCAGAATCTAGAGGTCTCTCTAGTTAGATTTATAAAAACTTAGTTCAAAGTTCATGCTTCAAAAAAGGGGCATGTAACATTACAGTGGGTGTTTATGGCAAATCAAACAATGAACTTTCTGATTGTATTCCCTAACAACAGAGCATTGCAAAGTAGACTTCAAAACACAAGGCAAAAAAGGACGTAGACTTGGGTACTAAAGAAAAACCAGAAGAAGGCACCCTAATTTATTAGACATTAGCTCACACAAATAAGTGCTTGATGAACTGTTTAGTATTGTGTAACTTACTTAGGCAAATTTTCAAGAAAAAGTGTCTTATTACCTTCTCTTAAAAATACATGAAATTGGGCTGGGGATTTATTAGCTCAGTGGTTCTGCCACCTGCCTCACAAGCACAAGGTCCTTAGTTTGATCCCCAGTACCAACCAAACCAAACCAAAACAAAACAAAACAAAAAAATCCATAAAATGAAGAAAACTAAGAACTACTCTGTGACCAGCAGTTACAGAGGCTCATTTTTCAGGGTAGTTTAGAGATTTGTTTTCTAAATATGCAAGATTATCCCACTGGTATACTTACTTTCACATAAAGGTGGTTTTACTTGGACTTTCTCTTATCAAAATGTTCACCGTCGATGAAATGTACCACTTCCCCCTTATTACAATCCTTTTAAAATTAACTAGGCTTAGTATTTAAAAAATTCTCCAAATTCTAACGTAACATTTAAAAGAATTTCATCTATATTTATGTTTGCTTTCAGGAAAACAGAAATTATCAAATTTAAGACCTGTTGCCTTTAAAGTGTGATTTTTTAAACATTTCACTGGGATACATCTGAAAATAAGGCAACTCTACACAGATCCAAACCTGCCAATGGCCAATCCCCAGTATGATAACATGAATAAGACCACCTTTCAATACGGCAGTCTCAATAGCTGTTGTATACTACTGACATTTCCTTTTCTTTCCAGATAGCAATTTATGCAAACTGACATAAATTTCTAAGGTTAAAAGTGAGACTAAAAACAAGGAATGGTTAAGTATGTTTAATCACTACGGTTTTTAAAACTTCTGGTTTATTTCACAGCAAACCAAACCTTATTTTTCAGAAGAAAAAGGAAATAGCTGCATTCTACCATATCATGATTTTGTATATGCACACACACTATATACACAAAATTTCTGTCTTTGGTGGTTCAGTTAGGGAAAAAATAATATGAAAATCAGAACACCATTTGGAAAAGAAACTGTAAAACAATGGTCAAGAGTAGCATTGTCTGTGTGCTTTACTCATTTAACATCATTTAAAGGTTCACATTTTACCTAAAAAAATTTTTGGCCAATACTCCAAATCATTACATGCTCAAGCATGGATATTGCTCACAACCTCAGCAATCACTAGCTCAAATGCACCTTGGCATTGTACTTGGTTAATCATTGGACTGTTGTATGTTCACAAAACTTTAGGGCAATTAGCACCAGGTGTGGGGGGGCATGACCTAATCTATACATCTCAAGGCAAAAAAAAAGACATAAAATACAAATCTAAACATACCATCCTTGTTTCCTCATACACATAAATAATGGCTATCACTCTTCTGTACAAATGATTCAGGTAATGACAAGTGGCCCCTTTAGGAAAAGGTCCTGCAGTGTGGTACGGGTTAGCTCGATGCTGGTGGTTTCATGTCCACTGCCTGCAATGAACACGTTGCCAGGAAAAGCCTAGCATGAAATAAACAAGGAAAACAAAACAAAACACCTCTCTTACAGTTTATTTTCCAAAAAACTAGGAAATTAGACATCATGAAATCTAACTGAAAACATTCAAGCCACAACTAAAAGTGCTCTGCAGTTATAAATGCCAGGAAGCCAGTAGATTTTCATGGAGACAGCAAAATAAACTTTAGTCAGCTTGGCATAAGGAGCATCAGCAGACCAAACACTGGCTGAAGGAATGTAAAAGGGTAAAAAAGAAAAAAAAATTAAAGAAAGTTTATGAGAATTTAAACCCCAATTTTTAAAAAAGGTGCAATTTCAATTTGTTCATCTGTACCTGTATTCAAGCTACTACAGTTTTAACGTTAAAAATAAAAAAACTATTATCTTGCCTGGTGAAAACCATTTGCAGCATGTTACATGTGCACATGGTCAATAATTGTAACTTTCATAATTTTAAAATGCTAATATTATTAAGTAAATCAAATGCTATTTGGCATGAGCCACTGAAAAGTTATCACTCCTACCTCCTCTTCCAGATATTGGCCTCTTAAACAGTAAGATTAATTCTGGCAACATTTGCTCTGGTAATGGTTGTTTTGTCTTGTTTTCTGAAATGCTACATTTGAGACCAAATAAAATATAACTGGTTCATTTGAAAAAAGGGACTAGAAATATGCCACAAAATTATTTTTACAATACATTTTTGCAGAAATAATCTCTAGGTGAAGCTTTTATACACATATACAAAATTTAAACAGCAATATACACATAATCACAGTGAGGACACATTGGCAAATTCACCAATCTGTAGTGTAAATACAAACTGGAAAGCAGCCTTCCAAGAGAACAATGCTACACAGCAAGCAGAGCTGGCCCATTCGACAGCAAACACCAAAACATCCCTGCAAAGGGGAGACAGTGCAAGGGAAGCAGCATGCGCTTTGATACAAACAGCAATTTATGGCTAATGGGTGACATAACTGGTAACAGTGACTCTCGCGCTGCTATACATATAGTCCTAGGACATCTGTTTGTCTTTATACCACTCCACAAACTCATCCAACAAGACTGGCCCTGGAGAGAGAAAAAACAAGGCTGCTCTCAGGCTTTTTCCAGGAAGGAAGTGAATGTGTAAAGGGGGGTGGGGGGAGAAAAACCAGTCTCACCCAGTACTTACATGCTCCATCTTCATCGTAGTTGCTGAGGTCAAGATTAATTGTTCTGCTGAATTCAAGTACATTGCACCACTGGTCTTTGTTAATCACTTTATTGTTCTGCTGAATTCAAGTACATTGCACCACTGGTCTTTGTTAATCACTTTATATTTTGATTGCTGACAGAGGGGAAAGTAATATGAATTACTCACACTTAAAATGAACAAATGGGATGGCTTCCTGTATGAACCAACTTTAAATAAAGTTAATGTATTTAACTCTTTACACGTAAGCACCAATCTAGAAGGATGATGAGGGACAGCAAGAGGAGAATTTAAGATGCTAATTTTTATTACAAAAATATTATTGGGGCTCCAATCCAAGATGGCAAGCATATCAAAGAAACATAAGAAATATCCCTAGTAGTGAAACTGCTATAGCCCTTTAAAATAGAATGGGGATATTACCTATTTCCTAGCAATGCTTCAAGTATTGAGATAACTTATGTCATGTAAAGCATTTCATCAAGTACTTGACAAACAGAGTGGCTTCCACTTAGCAGTCCTGACACAATCAGCACTGCTCACCGCCAAGCTGCTGGCCTGAAGCACATGCAGCAGGGGGTCACTATCACAGGGAGGGCTAACCTTTTAGAGCTTTCAATGTACAAACAGCTCACTGTGCCACGCGTGCCATAGGTTCACCACCACCGCTCTATGAGAACCTACATGAGTGCAACAAGTGGTCTTAGAGGTAGGTACTCGTGCCATTGAAGAAAGCTACTTTTCTAACAATTCAAAACCTGAATGTGATCATGAATGAAACTATACTAGCCATGAAAGAGTTTCTCTAATCCTCAGACAAGAAATATGTTACAAGTATATTTTAAAATATAGTAACCCCACATAAAGATTTAAAAATAAAATCTAGAACTAGCCATTTTAAATTTCCATCACATCAACTTAGGAATATAATAAAATAATACAAATATTTTTTAAAAGAAAGAAAAGAAAAGAAAGGAGCCGGGGATTTAGCTCTGTGGTTCTGCCACCTGTCTCGCAAGTGCAAGGTCCTGAGTTTAATCCCCGGTACCAACCAAAAAAAAAAAGAAAAGAAAAAGAAAAAGAAAGAGGCCAATGGTTTTGAGATTATAAACATCAGAAGAGCTAAAATAAAAGGTTTAGCGTTCTCTTTTAAAGAAAAAGTTAACTAATACAAGAACAAATTGAACTCTTTGAGTTTAACTTTCTAAGCAACTAAAATAAAAAACTAGTCTTGAAATAGCTGATGATATTCCCAGAGTTGTGCAAAGTCAAATTTCCTCATAGCCAGGTTTGTTCAGCTGAAGGATCTTCATACTCAGGCTCAAATCCTGCTAAACTCTGAGAGCAAGAACCTATTTCTGTTTCTGTCCCAAACAGTGCTAGCTTATCTCATGGGGTTATCAGAGAAGCTAGAACAGACCATATGGAGAGTGGATCATTATGTAAACAAACACTTCTACGATTAAAACAAGTTTTTATAACTTTCTTCAGGAGTTCTAGTTAGTAATATTAAAAGCAGTTTTTAATAATACCCCTCTAAGAAATGTAATAGTTAAGTTTTTCTGAGCTATTACATGAAATAATATTACAAGAAAGATTATTTCGAGGGAAGTTAAGGCCTAGCACTTTCTCACAGACTGAACACTGTCATTTATACAAGCAACGGGGGTTTTTAAAAAGGGCTTGGGGAAGGAGGGAAAGGAGGATGCCATATGTGACGACAATCCAAGGCACTAAAAACACATGCCAAGTACTTCCAGGTCCTACAACAGGAGACTTCAACTGAGCCAGCCCCTTCTAACCAGCACCTCAAAATTTTTTATCATAAATATGCAAAGCAAACAATGATGGAATAAAGAGCTGGGTTGTTTCTAACATGGACCTGAAGAAAATACAAACCGAAGGAGACATTGTCAGTTTACCTAATATTGTACTTACATTGCTCTAAATGTCCCACGTTACTTAGAGATACTTAACAATAGATAAGAATAGTTTACAAATTAATTTTACTAAGAAGGCAGATGGCTGTTCTGTAAACTGTGCTTAGTAAAACTGGAAGTTCGTCTAAAATCATAAAGAAGGTAAACTTCAGTTTTTGTTATAAAGAACAGGAAATCTAAACAGCAATGAGGCTTTTAAAATGGAGCCAAGAGAGGAGAGGAGAGTTTTGGCTGTTTCTAATGCACTGTAACATGGGATGGCACACATGACGTAACACACACATACAGATGCACTCTAAGAAAAGGAGGAGCTGCTGACTGACAGCAATTACAGCACCATAGTTCCTGTGAGCAGAAAAGTACAAAAACAAAAAATTACATAAAATGGTTAAATAAAGTATATGTGGTAGTTCTAAGCAAGCAAACATAACGTTTCATAAAATAACATTTGGTACCTCTAAGAATTGGTGAAAAACTGGAAAAAGGGGCCAGATTTTTCCTAATAACAGTCCCAACATGCACTTGGCAGTGTTTATGTCTAGGCTGCGCTGGTCCTTTTCCTGTTTAACAAATAAAAACAAGGATAAGCCAGATGCTTCCAAATAATAAGTTTTCATAATCCAAATTTGTATTTCACTTCACCAAGAAATTAATCAACAACTCATTTATTATACACAATAAAAATCCTGAAGGGAGACTAAGGCAGGGGGAAAGACAGGCAAACCCAATGGAAAGCTTGATCATTTCAGTATTTCACAAATGTAAGGAAGATTCGTGTCCATCAAATGATCAGCCTAATGAAAATCAATCTTGTAGTAGCAGTAACTAAATTATTTAATAGGCTAAACAAAAATTGGTAACTCAGTAACTTGCTTGTCAATTTATAATAATTATTGAAATCGTTCCTGGTTATCCTAAAAGCCCACAGTTTAACTAGATAAGAGTTTAAAGGTTTTTGCTTTCCACACTTAGGAATTAGTTTTCCTTGCTAAATATCATTTTTTTCCCAACAGTTTTACTTCATGGGGTATTTTTTTAATACCAAAACACACTGCAATTAAAGTTGATTCATAATAAACGGTGGGGCTCTGAAGATTCTCTCCCTTATCAGAGGATGTAGTCATTCATGTTGCTCTAGGCAAAGTAGGATATTTATCTATACAATCCTTACCTTGGATTTCTTAGATGTGACTCTCCTAGAATATCCCTAACTAGTAATCAAGAGAAAAACATCTCATAAGGAAACCAGAAGAGAGGTAACATATAAATGTAGATTAACTTAATTCCACTTATATTTGCAAATCAAAAATCCTAATTTCTCATTCTTTCTTGTAAATTTCCATTCTAAATCTCCAACTAGGTGGTTTCTGTGGAAATGGATAGAAGGCCTGGGACTTCAGGAGGTGACATTACAGAACTAATGCTAGCCTCCATGTAGTATCTTTAAATACAGTGTAAATTTGCAAAAGGACTCTATGACAAAAGTGCTCTACTTCCCACTGGAGTGGAATCTACATATTCACCAAATTAAAGAACGATGCAGTGATATAACCCCGACAGCCACAGAATCCTTCTGCTTTTAGGTGAAGCACTCTTTAATACAATGTAAGTTTCTACCCATGACCCTAATTTTAAAAGTGAAGGAATTAAACAACACAGCAAAGGTAAGGGCCTCACCTAACAAGAGCAAACAAGGGAGATGAAGACACAGAAACTTGCTGCTTAAGAAAGATGCTCAAGAAGTCTGCCTTTAGACTCAGTCATAAAATACAATGTCTGTTCACAAAAAGACCAGAACTCATGGCACCATGATGTCCTTCTCTGTTTTGAGGTCATAAAAATGTAAGTCTGATGATGGCGGGGGAATCTGAATCACACAGTTCTATGCAAAGAAGTGGGGTTTCCTTCCCACAGCACTCTCTCTTGACCCTGGGCAATGAGATGGTCCTGCTAGGGCTGCACCACTTGCTCCTGAAGGAGAAGAGGACAGCAGAAGAGGTAACCTAAAGATTGCCTGCCTTTTGCCAACCATTTCAAGTGCTTATGCTTCAGCAATGCACTGTGCAAGTCAATGGAAAATATCCCGAGCCCGTAACACAGGTGTGGCAGATGGCAACGGCACACCAAATCATGAAGCAATCCACAGGAAATATGAGCAAATGGTCGAGAAACACACGCAGCAACACAGGACCACGCCGAAGTCCGTTTGTTGCACAAACGCTCATGCAGCACTGGCTGACAACACTGGCACTCTAGGTTTTCTCTTGCAGTCTGTAATAATTCACTAACCCCAAATCTCTAGTCTAGCTTTGACACGTGTTACGCCTTCTTCCATCATTCATCACCAATGCCTATGCCCCCATCACAACGGACATACACTAAGGTGACAAAAAAAAGATACAAAGGACCTGGACAGACTCTTTATAACAATATAGTCATCTGACAAACTGATGATCACAAAGAATTTCAATGTGTGTGTTTGGCAGTGATGCCAAAACATGAAAGAAAGGCATCAGACTCACAGGGCCGGAGAGCTGAACAGCACTCACTCACGCCTGCTCTGCAGGGTGCAGCCAGCAGCTTGCAATCACTAACACCATCTTCTGCCTAGCAAATAAGAGAGAGATATTATGGAGGCACTCATAGTCTGAACGGTGGCATCTCGCTGACAACCAACAGTCTGTCAGTGTCTTGTGGCTAAGTACAAATGACCATAACTGGAAACGCTCAAGATTCCTGGAACAACACAGTAGATAGAGCCCATGGCAAATGCCTACTAAACATCAAAATGGAGACACTCTCAGGGGTTCTCTGTTGAACACAGTGATCCCTATGGGCATTTCCTGCAAAGGGGTTCCCAGTTAAAAGTAAATGAATCTCCCAGGATGCTATCAGGCAGCCATCAACATTATGGGCATTAAAAAAAAAAAAAAAAATATATATATATAAACAA